AACCCACCAGCCTCCATGCATGTGGCCAGTGCCCTAACGACTAAGCTACAGGTGCCACTTCCTAACCTTAAAGAATATGTTAAAGGTGCAAAGGGGCCAAGGAGGGGTGAGGGGAAGGCAGGTAGATGAGCAGAACTCATTTACTCACAACAGCCAGCCACCACATTCCTCCTCCTGACATGAGACGAAGCTGGAATGTACATTTGCCAAATGTCTCTCAGTGAGGGAAAAAAGTCTGGGGAAGGGAAATGGACCGACAAGTATACAGTGCTATGGTGATGCCTGGTCAGAGGGGGGAAAAGGAATCAGCCAATAAATAGCCATGCTGCTAAAACTGTAATAATAATGGCCAGAAGCAGTAAGTAAGAGTTCAAGGCATGGGGTCTGGAGCTCGTCTACCTGGGTTCCAGTCCCAGGTCTGCCAATTAATAAATGGATGCCTAAAATGAAATTTACCTAACTAGTATCACATAACCCAGCAATCCCACTCACAAGAACTGAAAACAGATGTTCAGATAAAACAAGAATGTCCACAGTGGCACTACTCATCGTCACCAAAAGGTAGACACAACCCCAATGTCCATCAATGGGTGAATGGATAAACAAAATGAGTACATCCATATAATGGAATTATTCAGCCATAAAAAAGGATGAAGCACTGATACACGCTACTATAGGAATGAACCTTGAAAATATTACACAAAGTGAAAGATATCAGACACAGAAGCCCACATGTGAGTCCATTTATAGACAACTTACATCTGCCTATCCAGAATAGATAAATCCATAGAGACAGAAAGCAAATTAGTGGTTGCCAGGGGTTCGGGGAAGAAGGGAATGAAGAGTAACTTAGTGGGTACAGGATTTTCTTTTGGGGCAATGAAAATGTTCTGGAACTAAACAGGGGTGATGGTTACACAATCCTGTCACTGTGCTACAAGCCATTGAATAGTATGCTTTAAAATGGTTAAATGGGCCTGATCTGGTATGGTGGCTCACGCCTGTAATCTCAACACTTTAGGAGGCCAAGGTGGGAGGATCATTTGAGGCCAAGAGAAGCCTGGGCAACAAAGACCCTATCTCTACAAAATAAAATAAAACGGTTAAGTGGTAAATTTATATTATGTGTCTTTTACCACAATTTAAAAAAAAACTGTTTTACTTATTATTCTGTGCCTCAATTTCCTCATCTGGAAAATGGAGATAGGGTCATTATGAGAATTAAAAAAAAAAAAGAAGAAGAAGAAAAAAGAAACTCTTAGAACTGCCCCGACACATAGCGAGTCCTCAATAATTATGAGCTATTGTGACTAGATCTCAGATACAAATGAACTAACCAGCACTATCCAGCAGAACTTTCTGCAATGAGGAAAATGTTCTCAGATCTGTGCTCCCCAACAGGGCAATGCTAGCCACACGTGGCTCGTATACCTAAGGAACTGAATTTCTCACTTGATTTCATTATGGTAAATTTAAATGGCATCAATGGCTAGTGGCTATTAAGACGGTACAGTTCTAGATCCTTTCATTCAAACCTCAGAACAACCCTATTAGGTGGGTATTAACTGAACTTTAAAGATGAAGAAAAGCTACGTCACTCACCTAAGGCCACAAAGCTTGAGCCCAGGACGTTAACACAGAACGGAAACTGCAAAAAATGTTGTGCCTGGCTCCAAAGCCTACGCAGTAATCTCCCCTAACTGTGGTTTCACTTTGTGTGGTTTTGGTCACTCACAGTACAGTACATATGATATTTTGAGAGACCATATTCGTATAACTTTTATTATAGCATATTGTTATAATTGTTCTATTAGATTATTAGTTTTGTTATTTATTAACCTCTTACTGCACTTATGAACTTTATCATATGTATATATAAGAAAAAACACAGTATAAACATAGTTCTGTACCACCCAGGGCATCCAGTGAAGGTCTTGAAACACGTCCCCGGGGGATATGGGGAAACTTCTGTACTCTTTGCACTGTTCTGATCTGTTTCTCTCAGCGGAAAGGACGGGTTTAGACACAAGGAAAGTCTAGGACTTCCCTTAAGGGAGCCCCAGGGGGGCTTCCAAAGGAGAACACTGTGGAACAGTGCAGAGAAGACAACGCAGCAGGAGAGAGGACAGGACCAGCTACGAAGAGAACATAAATGAGACCTAGGGACTGTCCCTCTCATCGCTTGCTTGGTCTCTCCCAATATCCACCCCAGTCTCTGTCATCTACTTACCTAGTCTATCCGTGGCTTTCTCCGTCGCTCTCTCCTGACCGGAGTGGTCAGCTGTAGCAAAGCCAGCCTGCAAGAAGCAGCAGCAATTACCAGGGACTTGGGAACCCGCCTGTTAGTTCAATCCAGCCTTCCGTTCTCCCCTTGGGGATGCAGAGCTGTTTGCCCTGTTAGATGGGGCAAGAGCAAGGGGCTTGCTCTTCCTATACCTACAGGCACCACTGCAGCGACACCTCTTCTGTCTGGCAGCAGGAATGCCCTCCTGCAGCAGCCACTGAATCCAGTTTTGCCAACTCTTGCAAAGCCAGCCTCATCACGGGCCCTCTCTTTAGAGGTCTGGGTCCCAGGTCCTCTCCTCCAAGCCCCGAGACCCTTACACCAGCTGTGGCAGCTCCTCCCTCCTCACAGGCTGGAATTGCAGCTCACAAAGACTCTCCTCTAAGCTTATAAATTTTAATCATTTCAAATTCATCCCTTTGCTCCCTCAGCCATGGTGCTGGTAGCTGTTTCCTGCAGTTGCCTTTACCTTATACTCTTTTTTTCCCTTTTTAGATACTTAACAACTTTATATCCTAGTTAACAGCTCCTATCAAATTCTGTGTCCTCACTGACAAACAGGGGGAATGGAACTCTAATTCCCTTGCAGTGCTGACCACTGAAGGGAATACCTCTAACCTAACTGATACTCTTCTTCCCTCACCGCTCCCATCAGTCATAAGTTCCTGAAACCCTACCACCTCCACGATTTTTTTTTTTTTTGAGATGGAGTTTTACTCCATTGCCCTGGGTAGAGTGTCATCGCATTATAATGCCTCGCTCACAGCAACCTCAAACTCCTGGACTCAAGCAATCCTCTTGCCCCAGCCTCCCAAGTAGCTGAGATTATACGTACCCACCACAATGCCGAGCTAGTCTTTTACTAGAGATGGGGTCTCACTCTTGCTTGCTCAGGCTGGTCTTGAACTCCCCAGCTCAAGCAATCCACTCACCTTGGCCTCCCAGAGTGCTAGGGTTACAGGCTTGAGTCACTGCACCCAGCCAAGACCTCTTTCTGGTGGAACAAGAAATGTTCACCATCTGCATGAGATCTGATTTCAACCTCAGCCCTGCCATTCATTCAGAATGTGACCCTGGACGTAGCACTTCAATTCCTAGGTTTTCTTCTCTGGAAGTTAGGGATGATTATTCTGACTCACAAAAAAATGTATGAAGACATCTAGCATATAGCAGGAACGTAACATTCCTTGAATTGTAACCCACTGCTTCCTACATCTCAACTGCGCTTGACGCCTGCCCCATTGACTAACATTCATCAGCCAGTCACGCCTGGGTTCAGTGATTCGGTTCCATCCGCTGTGGGCAGTGACAATCATTGGTCACTGCAGGCCACAGAGGAGTCTGACCTCTCACCTAAATCTCTTCTGTAGCCTCCCCTCCCACCTATTCATCTTGCTCAGCCTTACCTAGTTAATCACTACTCTGCTCAAAACCTTGGACAGCCCTCCACTGAGGGAGCACAAAATTAGCCATGACACTCACAACTCCCCTCCCCAGGCTACCCCCGCCCCTATCAACCTGTTGACCACAGAGTCTCTCAAGCTCTGGGACCCAACCCCAAGCCATTTGCCCTGCACTTTCTCATCTCCACGTCTTTGCAGACACCAACACCCTCTCACCCTGGAGACTACCTGCACATACATTCTGCTGGACCCCGACAAAATTAGTCCACTCCAAAGTAATTTTCTTTATGTATCTATCGCTACATTTTTCCTATCTTACTAGGGTTAAGTACCATCTTTGAAGCTTAAATAAACATTTCATCCTTCCACCTAATTTAGTATGCCTATTCCTTATGCCACGCACTACACTAGGTGCTGGGTAAACAGCCCTAAACAAAGGGTTCCTACCCTCAAGGAGCTCACCGCCTAGCAGGGATTGACTGTAAACAAGGCCAGGTGATGACTGTAATAACGGTCTTGGAAGAACCAGCAACTGTATAGTGCACCCAGGAAAAACAAGTTTCTAGAAACCCTGTGTCATAAAGGGCCTTTTGGTTTCAAAAGGAGTACAAAAGGAGAGCACGCATGTGACATATCTGGAGCACAGGGTTAGCGCAGCATCCTCACGAATGGACAGAGGTCCGTAGGGTAAAGTTCTCCTCGCTGTCCTCACCTGGCCCTTGCCCAGGCCCCCAGCAGCGGGCCCCAGCTCTTGGTCATCAGCATCACCACCCATTCACCAAATACGCAGAAGCGCCGGTGGGCCAACGGCCTTCCCTCCAGATCCGGTGCGCCCACCCACGCCCTTGGAGATCCTCGCCCCTCAGCCCCGCTGTCCCGCTGCCCGGCCGTTTCCAGCTCGAGCGCGTGCCAAACGGCGCTCCCAGTTCGCCGGGAGGCCTGAGACCTGTCAAAGGCGCTTCCCTGACCCCGCGGCCCCCACCCAGCTGGGCCCCGCGAGCCCCTCAACTTCCCGCCCTGGGCTGCAGGTGGTGGCTGTGCCCAGGCCCGCGCGGCGCTCACCTCCAGGCTGCCGGGCGCCTTCCGCGCGCTCGGCAGCAGCGGGCCCCGAAGCGGCGCCACGGCCCCCAGCGCCCGGGCCCCGGCGGCCTGAGGGTCCATGCCCGGCTGCCCGCGGCTCGGCGCCCTGGACGCTGCTCGGCCACGTGACGCGCCGGCCTGGCTGCCAGCCCGAGGATACGCCGCTAAGGGGCCAATCAGCCGGGGGCTCGGAGCCGAATAGGCGGGACGCGGCGGGGTGGTCACAGGGAAGCCAGGGGCGGGGTGGGGTGGGGCAAGGGCAGGGCAAGGGGCGGGGCGCACGGCCTGGCCGAAAAGGCCCCATCTACCCCACTCCCAGGGCGAAATCTGAAATAATCCCGGGTACTGAGTTTGGTAGTTCCTGCCGGTGCAGCTGCTATGACTGGAAAACCCGCTGGGTCTGCAATGCCAAGTGTTAGCCCTACTCAACCACGATGCGTTATGTTTCGGTTTCAAAACCTGGAACGACCCAATCTGATAGCATATAAAGCCAGTTGTCTAAACTTCTAATGCCATCGACGCTCCAATCCGATTTCTCGTTACATCTTCACAGGTGTCCCTATATGGCTCATCCCAAATGGACAACTCAGGAGCCCAGTGTGACTCCTCACCTTGATCTAATGATCGTCTTCACAGTTAATCCATCAGAAACCAGGGTATGTGATTAAAACCAAACTCCTACAATGTGTGGTGGACACAGTATAAGCTATGACACTTAGTCACAGTAACCCTAATCATTCTGGTTTGTGACAGAATCTGCCCAGGGCTCCTATCTTTCAATACTCAAAAGTCTACTACTCTGCTTAGGCCGTGCCTGTAGCTCAGTGGGTAGGGCGCCAGCGACGGACACTGGACCTGGTGGGTTTGAATCCAGACCAGGACTGCCGAACAACAATGACCACAACAATAACAAATAGCTGGGCACTGTGGCGGGACACCTGTAGTCCCTAATACTTGGGAGGCTAAAGCAAGAGAATCTCTTAAACCCAAGAGTTTGAAGTTGCTGTGAGCTGTGATGCCACAGCCCTCTGAGGGCAACACAGATGCTGTCTCAAACAAAACAAAACAAAACAACCTTGTTTCCTCAGACGTGGCACTTGGCAGCAGGGCCTGAGTTGGGGATAACCCAACAGAAAAGACAGACTTTGCTGCTGCCTTTCCCTGCAGTGTCTAAACTCTGATTTAAAAAAAAAAAACAGGCGTGTTAACAACATGTATATTTAAGTGTCAGAAAAGCTGGAATTCAGCAGGCAACCTTATGGCAATCCTTTCCAACATTAGAGAACCTCTTCCTTGGACTCCCTTAAAGACTGTTTGTAAAGTACACAAGTCATTTTTTTAAATGTGACTTAAAGGTTACACAATATTCAATGTTAGGTTTCTCTATGTAGACTTTGCTACAAAGTAAATGAGACCACTTTGTGCTCTGTTCTGCTAACCCATAAGTCAGTTTACCCAAATCTGACTGGCTCTAAGTCAGTACTGCAGTGGTAGAAACAGACGTTCTACTATCTCTGCTGTCCAGTACAATAACCAAGTGGCTATTAGACACTTGAAATGTGGCCAGTGTAAATGAGAAATTATTTAATTTTAATAAATTTAAATTGCTACACATAGGTAGCT